CACATATGAGTAAAACCATATGATAATTGTCTTTCTCTGATTGACTCATTTTGCTCAGCATAATACCTTCAGTTCCATCCATGTTGACGTATGGTAAGATTTCATCCTTTTTGATGGCTGAGTGTCTACCAAACATTTAAAGAATTAATTATCAATCCTTTTCAAATTCTTCCAAAAAAATAGAAGAGGAAGGAATACACCCAAACTCTTTTTACAAGGCCAGCATTACCCTCATACCAAAACTAGAGAAAGACACTACAAGAAGAGAACATTACAGAACATCACCAACATAGATGCAAAAATCCTCAATAAAGTATTGGTAAATTGAATTCAACAATACATTAAAAGGATCATATACCATGATTAAGAGGGATTGGTTCAACATCCACAAATCAATCAATATGATGCACCATATTAACAAAATGAAGGATAAAAATCATATGATCATCCCAGTAGATGCAGAAAAAACATTTGACAAAATCCAACATTTGACACAAACATTTGACAAATTCATGATAAAAACTCAACTGGATATAGAGAAAATACACCTCAACATAACAAAGGTCATATATGACAAGCCCACAGCTAATGTCATGCTCAGTGGCGAAAAGCTGAATACTTCACCTTTAAGATCAGAAACAAAACAAAAATGCCCACTCCCGTCATTTTATTCAAGTTGGTACTGGAAGGCCTAGCCAGAGTAATTGGTTAAGAAAAACAGATAAAAGTCATCCAAATCAGAAAGGAGGACGTAAAATTGTCTCTATTTGCATATGACATGATATATATAGAAAACCCTAAAGACTCCATAAAAAATTGTTTGAACTAATTAAATGAATTCAGTAAAGTTGCAGGTTACAGAATTAACATACAAAAACCTGTTGCATTTCTATATACTAACAACAAACTATGAGAAAGAGAAATTAAGAAAAAAATCCCATTTACAACCACATCAAAAAGAATAAAATACCTAGGAATAAATTTACCCAAGGAGGTGAAAGATCTCCACACTGAAGACTATAAGACATTGATGAAAGAATTCGAAGGTGACACTAATAAATGAAAAGATATTCCACACTTGTGAGTTGGAGGAATTAATATTATTATAAAATCCATGCTAAAGGGATCTTTGGTTCCAATGCAAGCCCCATTGAAATTCTAATGACATTTTTCACATTAACAGAGAAAACATTCCTAAAATTTGTATGGAACCCCTAAGACCCTGAATAATGAAAGCAATCTTGAAAAAAAAAGAACAAAGGGCGCCTGGGTGGCTCAGTTGGTTAAACAACTGCCTTCGGCTCAGGTCATGATCCTGGAGTCCCGGGATCGAGTCCCACATTGGGCTCCCTGCTAAGCAGGGAATCTGCTTCTTCCTCTGACCCTCCCCCCTCTCATGTGCTCTCTCTCTCTCTCTCATTCTCGCTCTCTCAAATAAATAAATAAAATCTTTAAAAAAAAAAAAAGAACAAATCTGGAGGCATCATACTTCCTGATCTCAAACTATATTACAAGGCTATAAAAATCAAAACTGTATGGTATTTGCATAAAATCAGGCATATAGATCAATGGAATAGTTTAGAGCACCGAGAAATATGCCTACAAATATATGGTTAATTTATTACAAAGGAGCCAAGAATATACAATTGAAAAAGCATAGTTTCTTCAATAAATAGTGTTGATAAAAGAGACAGCCACATGCAAAAGAATGAAACTGGACTCCTATGTTACACCATACACAATCATCAACTCAAAATGGATTAAGGACTTGAACATAAGACCTGAAACCAGAACACTCCTAGAAGAGAACATAAGATAAGCTCTTTGACACTGGTCTGAGCAATGATTTTTTGAATTTGACACCCAAAGCAAAGGCAAAATAACAAAATAAATAAGTGTGACTACATCAAATTAAAAAGCTTCTGTACAGCAAACAAGAGAAGATACTCAACATCAACAAATACAAATCAAAACCATAAAAATGATATCACCTCACACCTGTTAGAATGACCATCATCAAAAACAGAAGAGATAAGTATCGGTGAAGATGTGGAGAAAAGGGAGCCCTCATGCACTATTGGTGGGAATCTGAACTGTTGCAGCAAGTATGGAAAACTGTACAGTAGGTCCTCAAAAAATTCCAAATAGAACTACCATATGATCCAGCAATTCTCCTTGTGAGTATATATATCTGAAGGAAAAGAAATCACTGTCTCAAAATGATGGATGAATGGATAAAGAAAATGTGATATACATATTTATATATATATAAAGATTTTATTTATTTATTTATTCATTCATTCATTTAGAGAGAGAGAGAGAGCATGAATGGGCGGGGGGGGAGGCAGAAGGAGAGGGAGAGGATGCCTGGGTGGTTCAGTTGTTTAAGTGACTGCCTTCGGCTCAGGTCATGATCCCAGGGTCCTGGGATGGAGTCCCTCATTGGGCTTCCCCTGCTGTGCCGGGAGCCTGCTTCTCCCTCTCCCTCTGGCTGCCACTCCCTCTGCTTGTGCTCTCTCTCTGTGTCAAATAAATAAATAAAATCTTAAAAAAAAAAAAGGAGAGGGAGAGGGAGAAGCAGACTCCCTGCTGAGCAGGGCGCCCGGTGCAGGGCTAGATCCTAGGACCTTGGGATCATGACCTGAGCCAAAGACAGACACTTAACCATCTGAGCCACCCAGGCACTATATATATATATATATATATATATATATATATGAATATTACATATATACGAATATTACTCCAATATATTGGAATATTCCAATATATATTATATATATTATATTACTCAGCCATAAAAAAAAGAATACAATCTTGCCACTTATAACAACGTAGATAGGCCTTGAGGGCATTATGTTAAGTGAAATAAGTCATACAGAGAAAGACAAATCCTGTATGATCTCACTTATATGTGAAATCTAAAAAAATTGACCTTTAGAAACAGAGAACAGACCAGTGATTGCCAGAGGTGAAGATGGTCAAAAGGCACAAATTTCCTGTTAGAAGATAAATTCTGGGGATCTAATGCACAGCATAGTGACTATAGTTAACAATACTGTATTGTGTATTAAAAAGTGGCTAAAAGAATAGATTGTAGAAGTTCTTATCATAAGAAAAAATTGTAACTCTACAGGGGATGATAGTTAACCATGCTAATCATTAGCAAATCGTTATGTTATATACCTTAACTGTCAATTGTGTCTCAATAAAACTGGGGGGAAAACAAAATGGGAAGAATAAAAATAAATATATTGGTTACTACTCTAAAAAATGTTGATTTCATCCAAAAACACCCTTACAGAAAGATTCAGAATAGTGTTGACTATATATCTGAGCATCCTATACCCCAGTCAAGTTGACACATAAAATTAACGAGTATCCAATAGGATATTGTGGAAATGACATAGTGTGACTTCTGAGAAGAGATTATAAAAGACATTGTGGTTTCTGCCTTTCTCTCTTTTTCGGGGAGAAGCCAGCTGCCATGTCACTCAAATAGTCTTATGATGAGGTCTACATATTGGGGCTATGAGGCCTCCAGTCAGCAGCCATGAGTGAGCCCTCTTAGATGGGGATCCTCCAGTGCCATTCTAGCCTTTAGATAACTGCACTTCTGGCTGATGTTTGGAATTCAACCTCAAGAGAGCCCAAGCCAGAACCACCTAGCTAAGCTGCTCTTGAATTCCTGACACACAGAAACTGTGTGAGATAATAAATAGTTATTCTTGCTTTAAATCAATAAGTTTAGGGTAATTTCTTACTATGCAATAGATAACTAATTTAAAAGTCATTCTATAAAAATACCTGCTATGTACTCTTCAAAAATGTCAAGGTCATGAAAGATATAAAAAGGACCAAGGATCTTTTCCAGATAAATGAGGAAAGAAGACATAACAATCAAATGTAATGTGTGATCCTTGAATGATCCTGGACCAGAAAAATGGAAGGGTGAGAGAGAGAGATTGCAATAATAAAGATTATTGAGGTGATTGGAGAAATTTGTGTATAACCCGTCACTTAGATAATATTTCAATGTTTGTTTCCTGTTTTTGTTCACTGTACTGTAGTTATGCAAGAGAATGTCCTTGCTTTTAAGAAATATACCAAGTATTTAGAGGAGTATCATGCCTTTATTTTATCTCAGTTCCAAAGTAACAATTATATAATTATAATTATATAATCATATATATGTATATGTGTATATATCTAGATCTCTCTCTATATATGTAATTACACCTACAGCTATCTATCTCTATCTATGTCTATGTAAAGAGAGAGAGAATGATAAAGAAAATATAGTGAAGTGTTAACATTGGGTATCTGGATGATGGATATATGGGAATTCTTTGCACCATTCTCGAAACTTTCTGTAGAAATTGCTTCAAAATAAAAAGGGCATAAGAGGAGAGGTGGCTGCTATTTATAAATTTCCTTTCTAAGTAAACTGTTTCTTTAAACTGAGGATTTGAAACATTAATAGCTTTTGAAATGAATTTATTGGATCCAAACCAGAATTTTAGGATGTAATAGAATTAATAGAATAGAATAGAATAGAATAGAATAGAATAGAGTAGAATAGAAAGGAGAGGGCATTATAGATTAGCAAGGGTGAGTACTATTTTGTGAAACTTGTTTCATTTCTCCAGGGAGACAAAAGTGGATGCACTACGTTGCGCGGTAGAAAAAGTTGGAAAGCCTCAGCGCTGAGGGCTAGAGCCAGAGCCAAAGACCGGGTCACAGTTGCTCCGCCCCGCCCCTGGCCCCCTCGCCCCTTCGGGCCGGCGCCTCAGAGCCTGGGCCGACCTAACAGGCGCTGGAGTCCGGCACCAGGCAGCCTGCAGGTGTGCGCGCAAAGCTAGCACGTGGTGCCAGGCGCTATTTAAGGGCCCCCTGTGCCCGGGCTTTCAGCTGCGTCCTGCTTCAGCCCTTCCTGTCCCGGAGCTGCAGGAGGCTCGAGTGTCTCACAACGCATCCGCCGCTGGGGCTGCCGCCGGGGCATGGGCGCTGCGGGCCTGCTCTGCGTTTTCTTGGCTGTCATCGCGCCAGGGGTTCTAGGTGAGCTGGGAGGGGGAGCACCGAGGTAGGGACACGTCTGGGGCAGTGACGGCTTCTGTGCGGCGGTGCAAAGCAGAGAGAATAAGCGAGAAGGTTGAGTCAGTGCCAGACGCTTGACAGCCTCCCGCTGGCTTTGGGAGACCCCCCCACCACCACCACCACGATCTCCTGGTCCTGAATGTGCTCACTCGCTCCTCCTGGGGCTGGGACCGCTCGCTCTGCGCTGTCTGGGCTCTCGGCTCCCGGAACTCAGCAGATGCTCATCGCTCTCTGCCCGAGGTCTGCAAGCGCTAACGCTAGCCAAGTAACCAAAACCTACCCGTGATGTGTGCAAAGACCTCCCGCTGCCTTCCCCGAATAAGAATAATGTCTGGTCCGAGGCGTGGTTCTCATGGTTTTTGAACTTTGATGTGATGCCGGTAAAGAGATTCTAAATGAGAAACACCTGGAGCCATTGAGAAAAAAGTTGGTATGTGAATTAAAACTACAGTCATCTTCGTGTTACTTACCTCCTTTAATGGTAAAGGCTCCAGAAGGTCTCATTCAACGTTTATTAACACCCCCCCGCACCCCCCCCATTGGCTTAATTTTAGAGAAGTATAGCAGTTTGTTAAGACTAGAGTCTCTTGGCCACAGCATGGATCTAACTTTCTAATTATCTCCAGGATACAGTGAATTCCTAGTTAAGAAGTTTACTATCTGCAGATCTCAATAACTGGGTGACTTGGCAAGTCTTGTAGCTCCCTGACCCTTGGTTTCTTCGTCTGTAAAATGAAGCTAGTGGTAAGCTGCACAACCACCTTTCTGAGCTGCCTTGAATATGAGATGAAATTAGGCAAATGAAAGTTGGGGTGTTACTTGTGATTACTAAATATCAGTCATAAGACTACTATATAGAGCCATTTTTGTGGAGCCAGCATTTAAGTATAATGATCCCAGCTTGTTAATTTTATTTATTTCGTATTTTTTAAAAGATTTTATTTATTTATTTGACAGAGAGAGACACAACGAGAGAGGGAACACAAGCAGGGGGAGTGGGAGAGGGAGAAGCAGGCTTCCCATGGAGCAGAGAGCCTGATGTGGGGCTCGATCCCAGGACCCTGAGATCATGACCTGAGCCAAAGGCAGACGCTTAAACGACTGAGCCATCCAGGCACCCCCCAGCTTGTTAATTTTAGAGATACATTGGTTCTATTCCAGCTTACTTTGCTTCCTGGCATCCCAATTTCTCCTGACTCTTAGTTGAACATTTCCCCAGACTCGTATCTTTATCTCTCTCTCCTACATATTAACTTCCTTTGGAAAAGGGCTTGTTCACAACTTTCCCATTGGCATGGCACAGTTGGAGACCTGACTTCTCATCAGCATTCCATTCCTATTTCTAAGTTTTAGAGCTGATACTATCAATTGAAAACCAAGTTCATCAGCCCTGCCAATTCTTCATCCCCTCTCAGTACTAGTGTGCAGCCACCCTCTGGTCACTTCACTCCCAACACGTGAACCATGAGGTCTACCTGTCAATTGTTCTGGCTAATATGCTTCTGTCGTTTGTCTTAGCATTCTTACACCAATATTCTTATTGTAAGCATTATGATTACCTGTGTCACAACCTCCTCTCTTAAAGATCACTCTTGATACTAGCCTTTAACTTGCCAATGGTGAAAACCAAAATTTTAAAATACACTTTTTCATTTCTCCACTCCTTTGCTTCCTACTGCCTGTGGGATTAAAAAAAAAAAATCTAATGTCTTTGGCCTTTCAAGTTTTTGTAGTTGGATCCCATCTAAACATGCACCCTCCCCGATTCCCCACTATTTCCAATCATGAATGCACTGTTCATCTTGCCTGACTATCCCCCATAGTCCTTTGCTCATGCTTTGCCCCCACACTCCTCCTGACTTTTGCTTCTATATACCCTCTCTAGACCATCCCTTGACTCTTGGCTAGTTCCTGACTTGGAGGATGCTTAACAAACTCTTGAAATACCTTTTACAAAATGTATTTATTTTTCCAGTTTTATTGAGAAACAATTGACATATATTGCTGTATAAGTTTAAGGTGTACACCCATGATGGTTTCCTTTACATATAATGTGAAATGATTTCCACAATAGGTTTAGTTAACATGCCTCATCTCATTTAGATGCAATAAAAAGAAAAGAAAAAATTCTCCTTGTGATAAGAATACTTTGGATCTATTCTCTTAACTTTCCTGCATATCATACAGGAGTATTTGCTATTGTCACCATGGTGAACATCTATCCTAGTACTTATTTATCTTATAACTAGAACTTTGTACCTTTTGATCACCTTCCTACAGTTTGCCTCCCACCATCGCACCTCTGGTAGTCACAAACTGATCTCTTTCTTTATGAATTTGGTGTGGTTTTCTGGGTTTGGTTTGTTTGTTTGTTGTTTGTTTTTAGATCCCACATATAAGTGAGATCGTACAGTATTTGTCATTCTCTGTGTAACTTATTTCATTTATCATAGTGCCTTCAAGTTCCATACATGTTATCACAAATGGTGGGACTTTGTCATTTTTAATGGCTGAATAATATTCTATTGTACGTATACATACCACAACTTCTCCATCCATTCATCCATCGATGGACATTTAGGTGGTTTCCATGTCTTGTGAATAATGATGCAATGAACATGGGGGTACAAATCTCTTTTTGAGTTAGTGCTTTCATTTCCTTTCAATATATTCCCAGAGGTGGAATTGCTGGGTTATATGGTGGTTCTATTTTTAACTTTTTGAGGAATTGAGGTGCCTTTTAAAATGCAGGTTCCTGGGTTCCATCCCATTCTTCAGAGATTCACTGCTTTAGGGTGTGGCCCAGGAAGCTGAGTTTAACAAGTACTCTGGAAGATTCTGAAGCAAGTGTCTATAGGGTACACTGCTATGAGCAAAGTCATATGGAAAGCAAATTCTCAGAATGCTTTCCCACTTTCCTCCTTTTATTTGCATAAACTGATTCTAATTTCCAGCACTCTTACATTTCACTCTTGCCTAGACTGATAACATCACTTCATCCTACACTAAGAAAACAAAATCATTAAATAGGAATTCCCTTATTTACCAGTCATCTACCTTCATCTGAGATCAGATCCTTTCTCTCCCCTGCTTAAAACCTGTCAACGGCGTCCCATCACATTGGAACAAAATCCATGCTCTTTAACCTTGACTATAGGTCTCTGTCTCTCTCTGAAATTCTCTGTTCTTCTCCCTCACTCCCTCTGCTCCAGCCACACTGGCCTTCTTTCTGTTCCTTGAACATAGTCACATTTGTTTAGACTTGGGGTTCCGTCTGTTGAAGTGCCCTTCCCACATATCATGTCTCGCCTGTCTCCTCAACATTCAGGTCGCACGCCTCTGGCCACCCTTCTCTGACTCATCGGAAGTAGTCTGAACCCTGGTCACACTCCATCACACAACCGTGGTCTATTTTCCACAGAGCACCTATCATCATATGAGATCTTCTTGTTTATTGTTTTACTTTGTTGTTTGTTCTCTCATTGGAATACAAGTTCATGAGAGCAAAGTCTTTATCTGTCTTATTGCCTGATGAATCCCTCACACTAGCACATAGTGAGGAGTTCAGTAAGAACTCCTGTAACAAGGAGAAAAATATCCTTTCTCCCAACAAAAGTCAACTCCTCCTTCTGAATTATGGTCTCATCCCATCCGGTCTTGCCTGGACAAAGACTTTACTTCTGTAGATATCCCATCTTCTACCACCCATTTCTATCTCTCTGTTGGATCATCCCTACCAGCAGTTAAATATGCTCCAGAGCATCATTTATTGGGGGTGGTCAGGGGATTTCTCATGACCCTCTTCTCTTCCTTCTCATCCCTCTTCTCAAACTTCTCACTCACTACTTGCTCACATTTCTTTATCTCCTTAACCCACCCCAGACGGGCTTCTCTCCCCCACATTCTCCTAAAGCTACTCTCAGCAAGGTTACTACTGACTTTCATGCTGGCAAATCCAATGGTCATTTTTCTCTCCTTATCTTCTCAATCTTTCAGCAAAAGTTGACTAGTACTTTTCTCTTGAAACCATTTTCATTCTCTTCTTCCAAAACAGGGTTTCCTGTTTCCTGACTTCCACACTTATCTGTTTTTGTTTTTTTTTTCCTGTAATTCTCTAATTACTCTTGGTCTCTTTTGCCCTATCTCTAAATATTATTAGGTCTTGGGGCTCAGCCCTGGCCCTCCTCTGGTTTTCTCTATACCTTCTTCCTAAGAGATCTCATCCAATCTCATGGTTTTAAATACTGTTTATATGTTGATGATTCATTTATTATCTGTAGTCTTGAACTCCCTCCTGAGTGGAAAGTTTGTACATCCCACCACCCTCCCGCATCTCCATGTGGGGGCCCAATAAGTGTATTAAGTATACCAACTCTAACATGGAACCAATTCTGCATATGCCCCAACACACACACACACACACAAAAACACACACACACTGGTGCTTTCCCATCTTTAGGACATGGTAATTACCATCAATCAAGTAGCTCAAGTCACTATAAGTAGCCTAGAAGACATTACTAAATCCTGCTTTTTCCTTACCCCCACATCCAATACAACAAAAAGTTTTTGTTTTAAATTCTACTTGTAAAATATATTCCAAACTCATCCACTTCTCACTGTCTTCCTTTGGTCCAAGCCTCATTTTTTTTTTTTTGTCTGAACTACTATAATAGCCTCCAGATTTGTACTTCCTGCTTCTAAAAACAAAATCCAGCCCATTCTTCACTCACTTGCCAGACTATTCCCTTTAAAAGGTAAATCAGGCCATGTGACTCTCCCACTTTAACACTCTGGTGACTTCCACTTAGGCTTCTTACTGTGGCCTAAGAAGTCTAATATGATCCCTCCTTGTAGCTTTCTAACTTGATCTCCTACCACTAGATTGGTATGATCACTACATTCCAGCCACACTTGCCTTCTGTCTATCCCTAAAGCATAGCAAACCCATCCCTGCTGTT